AAAAGCACTTGCACAACTGCACAGTGGTTCAGAGTTTATGATAAAGTGCAGCAAAAAGTCGGCACCAAGATTTGCTGCCCTCAACAGGTGTCTCTCTGTTCCTATGCTAATAAACAGGGCAGCACATTGACTCCCACCAGTTTTTTTGTCCCTGGAGAGGCTGTGCCTTTCCCAAAAGCACTCCAAGCAGGGGAACTGTTTCTACCCATGTGACACAGGGGATCTTCAGACCCTGCTGTCTGCTCCAAGGCCTCTGCCCTCCTTCACCACAGAAGTACTGCTAAGTCTGCCAGGCACAGCCCTGGCAATGGTGTGGACTTCGAAAACTTCAGACTTTGATCTCTGCTGCTTATAAAAACTTGCAGTAATCAGCCCCTCTCCTTTTCCCAGTCAATGGTTTTGGGGAAGAGTTTTTCTTGTGTAATCCCCTGTATGTTGTTTTCACTCTGTCTCTGTCAGTCTCTCTCTCTCTCATTCTTCCCTCCGTTATCAGAGCTCCCTCCCCTCCACAGCACCCACAATTCTTTTCTCCCCCAAATCACCCCTCTGTAGCTCTTATCTGCCACGGTGTGTCCATTTTTCTACCTCTAGATGTGCAGTTTGTTCTCTCAATCCTCAGATGGATTTCTTGGGTGTTCACAATGATTTGATATTTATTTAGCTGTGTTCAAGGCAAGCCTAGAGTCCCCCTACTCCTCCGTCATCTTAACTCTTCCTCCCAGAATAATGTTTGTAAACGTATAGAATAAAGTGTGCAAGATTACAAAGGAAATCAATAGGTTAAAATTTAGTTATCAAACATCTTAAGAACACATGTCTGACATGGTAATAGATGTGCTTCTTTATTAACACCTCAAGTAGCACAGTCCAGCAGTGGGTCCAGTAACTCCCATGACTTTAATATAGTGATGAGCTGAAATCTTTTGACCTGTTTGCAACAACAGTGATAGGATATGAAAACATCTGCAACTTCTTTTGGTGACAATGACCTAGGTTTTACTGATAACTTTGTGTTTGTGGCTTATGGCTAGAATCGAAGAAAATGTTCAAATTTGGTTAGACCTTAGTGAGGATGAAGACACAATTCTTTTCTCTAGCCAAGTGCATGGGTCCTCCGAATTCTGCTCATGAACTCCTTGGGAGTCTGTGACCCCAGGTTTAGAACTCCTGGTCCCAGTGCTTTGGTTTCCATTTTTTGTTGATTTCTTTCTTCATATTGTTCTTTTTTTTTTTTTTAAGATTTTATTTATTTATTTAGAGAGAGAGCATGAGCAGGGGGAGGTGCAGAGGAAAGAGAGAAGGAGAGAGAAAACCTCAAGCAGACTCTGAGCTGAATGTGGAGCCCCACGAGGGGCTCGATCCCATGACCCCGAGATCATGACCTGAGCCAAAAATCAAGAGTCAAATGCCTAACCAACTGAGCCACCCAGGCGCCCCTCTTCCTATCATTCTTAAATGAGCCAGAGTCAATTCACATTCATCATTGGCAAGGAACCAATGGTAGTGATCACATTCTGTCACACTCAGGCAGGGGCTGGGAGGCCCCTGGACATGCACTGCTTTGTAGCTTGCAGAACAAGGACCTCATGGTGGAGCTGGAAGGGAACACCAACGCCCTCAGAGTCAAATTTATTCCGTGGATGAGGGTTAACCATCTTAGGAGAGGATGCCAGGTCAGCGCTGACCTGGGCCCAGAGGGTGACCCTTGCTCACCACACATGCATGCACATGAAAACACAAACACACACACACACACACACAGCTGTACAGTCTGGAAAATGGTGACACTGGCATCAGCTAGAGCGAGAAGTAGGGCCAGGTCCCAGTCACAAGGCATGTGACATGGAGCCCTCTCGTGCAATCACTCAGCAGCAGGCTGTCCCCGTCCACCTGCCTCACCCTCTCTGGCCCCACACATCTCACCAGCTTTCTTGTCCTTGGGGGACACGCAAGGTCATTGTTAGTACTTGTCACTATGTTTTTCTCCTCACCACTCACTTCTCCTTTGTCTCCTGGGGTTCCTGCCTGTCTAGTTCAGGGCCTCCCCACTCCTGCTCTCTCTTCTGTGCTACATCAGTCAGCCCAAAGTGACCCTGATTTGGCTAAAACGTGCCAGGAATACTATTGAAATCCACATGTACACAGGAACAGGAGAGCTTCAAGTGCCCGAGAGAAATCAGACCTGGGAACCATGAGCTCTTGGGCCTGGCATGTGGAAGGCATTCGGCAAATGTTTGCTTCATCAAGTTATCAGGTAAAGAACCCTGAAAGCTCCCCAAAAACCTCTTGTGGGATTTCCACCAAAGTCACCAGCTATCCCTTACCTTCCTCTAATCAAGTTGGCTTTTCCTCAAGTGCCAGCGTTCAAGGTGAATACAAGGCTTTCAATCAATGTTATTGGCTTTGTTTGCAACAGTATCTCTCGCTACCGTTCTTCACCAGGTAGTGAAGGGATAAGTAGTTTTGTGTTGAAGGGAGGGGTGAGAATGGGAGGCAGGGGGAGGACTGGGGGTGATCAGCCATCATCTACTCTTGTCTCATGGAAGGCGGCCTGTGTGAGGTGGCATCTGTGGGGACACCCAGAACCCACAGGACTGCTTCGGGAGCTCCTCCAGCACCCAGTGTGACCCTGCTTTCTTCCTCCGGGTAAGCGTCTGACAGGCCGGGTGGTCCCTCAGTTCTCTGGCTGTGCACCTGACTCAGTGCTCAGCGTACAGGTGGGCCGAACAGGTTCATTATTTTGATGCCCACCTCACAGGACATATATTAAGGCAGATAGGCCCATCTTTTTTTTGTGTGATACAAATTGCTAATAGTTAGCAAACCGCTGCTCTATGCCGGGCATGGTGATAAGCATGTCACGCGCATTAGCTCAGGTAATTCTCTATATGCAGCCAGAGAGAGCCTTTCAAAGTATAAATGACATCCCCCCCCCTTCCCCTGCCCCAAACCGTCCAAGATCTCTGGCACATTTGCAGTCAGGCCCCTACCATGTCCTGCAAGGCTGGCAGGGCATGGCCCCAGCTCCTGCTCCAACTGTAACCCCTCCCATCCCCTGCCTGCCACCCTCCTTGCTGCTCCTGGAACTGGCCAAGAAGGCCCTGCCACAGGGCCTTTGCTCTGGTTCGCCTCCCCGGGTGCTGCCCAGATCATCCCTTCATTTTATTAGGCCTTCTCTAGTGTCTCTTCGGAAAGACACTCACCCCATCCAAAATATCACCTGTTGTTAAGCTCTGTTGTCTTCTGTTTCTGATAGAACTCAGCACACCTAGGGCGCCTGGGTGGCTCAGTCGTTAGGCATCTGCCTTTGGCTCAGGTCATGGTCCCAGGGTCCTGGGATTGAGCCCAGCTTTGGGCTCCCTGCTCGGCGGGAAGCCTGCTTCTCCCTCTCTCTCTCCCCCTGCTTATGTTCCTTCTCTCGCTGGGTCTCTCTCTGTCAAATAAACAAAATCTTAAAAAAAAGAAAAGAAGAAAAAAAAAAGAACTCAGCACACCCAGCCATTTTATTATAAATCTGTTTGGTTGTCTATTACCTATCTCCTCACTAGAAGAAAAGCTACCTGAGAGCAGGAACCTTTTTTCGTTCACTGCTTTATTTCCACCACCAAGAACAGTGCCTTCAATCTAGTAGTCATAAATAAATACATAGTCAATGAAAAAATAAATGGATGAATACTCACAAAACCCTGTAATGTAAGTGGTATTATCACCCCCATGTTATAGATGAGAAGACTGAGGTTTAGAGAGACTGACAGTATTCTTGGGGTCATAAAACGAATGAGCCATCTGGGATCAGAAGTCAAGATGTCTTGCCTCTGGGGTCTAGCTCTTAGCTACTGTGCTAGTTCATCTCCCTTTGCACTCGTAAATGCCTGCCAGCGTTTCTATGTAGGAACCCTATTTCTCTGAGACACTCCAAGAAAAAAGCATTTGATGGATGATTTGGTTTGGGAGATACTACAAATTGCATTTCCTGCTTGGTAGCCTATGAAAGGCTCTGAAAAGTCCTGCAGTAAAAAATCCTAGTTGAACTTGTATAATCAGTGTTTCTCTAAGTGTTGACTATAGACATCTTTTATTTATTCATTGGTGTGTGTAACATCTATTAACATATGGCAAAGCATGCCTTGGAAATAATAGCTTTTTATCCTTGTGGAGGAAAGAAGATTGCCTGATACAGGATTCTGGGAGCTCTCTCTGGGTTGGCTGGCATGGGAAGTCTGGGACTGGGGGCTTCTTCACCCAGCAGGAGGGACCATGCCCCAAGTCAACCTCCTACCAGACTGGCACCTGAGCCCACCGTGTTTGTTCGCCCACTCTCATGCTCACTCTAAATCCAAAAAGACAGTGGGGAGGCTCCTGGTGCCCTTTAGCTGCAGTCGCACCCAAGCAGAGACCTGTGCTCATCTTCTGCCCTCTGGTTCCTGTATCAAGTGACACTGAGTCCTGTACCAAGTGACTCCTGAGCCTCTTAGAGAGCTACTCTTCATGTGTGCCTCTCAGAGACATCAACCCCACCGGCATGGCCTTGTTTTCTCACTGTCTTATGTCTCCTATTGGACTTTTAACCTTTTAGAGAACCAGGGACACTGCCTTACCCATCCGTGTCCTCTGGGCCACCAACTCGGTGCTGAACAAATGGTAAATGCCCAGATAATTCTTGTTGGCTTGACTGTGAGGGGACTGATGATCCTGTATGTTGCATAGTTTGGAGCAGGAAAGGATTAATGGTGATGTTGTAAATCCCTTAATTCATTGTCAGAGCCACCCCCCACCCCCCGCCCCAAGCAGAATAGAAGGATGTCCCAGAGGCGCAGAAGACCATGGAGTGAAATGTATGTAACTGACTGCCTCTCTGCGCTCCTCGGAGAGTTCGAGCCCCTGTCAACGCCCCCGATGTGCTCATTTTTTATTGGTTTTGATGGTGATTTGATGTCATTAGGGATTCAGGTCTCATGTTCATCCCTGAGATCATCTGAATAGCACTGGTGACGGGGAAGGGAAAAGCAGAGCAAGGCATCCACAGGCAACTTGGATCGGACTGCATAAATCTGGGAGGAGGGAGGGGGCCAGACAGCCTGGCCTTCCCAGCCGGCACAGGAGGCTGAGCGGGAACAAGCGAGAGGCTGTGGAACGGGCAGCGTCGTGCCTTCACCCCAAATGACCATGAGAGGTGCCATGCGAGTCTCAATCATGTTTCTTCTGGTGACCGTGTCGGACTGTGCCGTGATCACAGGGGTAAGGCGTCCAACTCCCTCTCTGCCCTGGGTTTTGGGAGGGTGTCAGGGTCTGCTTGGATGGGAGCCAGCAACCACACAGGGGGCAAACCAAAAAAACTGAGGAGTCAGCGGTCAGCCAGCATTTCAGAGAGGCATTCCACATGCTTTTTGGATTAGTTGGACCTTACCCCACTCCTAGACGGGATCTACTTTGGAGAGGCTGTGTGTAAATCCAATCTAAAATTTTCAATTGCATTAGGAGAACATCGAACATTTTGAAGTTTAGACCTTGGAGAACATGAAGATTCCTAATTGTGTAATAAGGAATTCTTTCATAAAGTTGATTAGCACCCCATAATTTATCTTTTGTGTAAATTTTGGTTTTTATACAATCTGGTCCACATGTCAAGTGTAATTTACACAGCATCTTGACTTAATTAAAGGCAGTGACCTTATTAGCTTTAATTGGGGATGTTTAACCTCTGCTTTTTCTACTCTTAAGAAAGATGGTCTTGAAATTCTTTCCTTCCTTTATTATTTGTATATTTTAATTGTGCCTGGTTCTGATCAGAGCATTTGGCTGGGTGTACCCAAAAGCAGGCATTGGATAACAAGTGGAAATCTAGCCTCCCAGTGGAGGCTCCCCACACAGGGGTGCTTGCCTGCCTTCACACTGGGGCTTTCCCCGGGACCACCCTCAAATGTGTTACAGTGGTGGGACCATTCTTACTAAAATGGAGAGTAATACCTGAGAGCTTTCAGATCAAAGCCACTAGGAAAAAAAAAAAAAGAGAGAGCGAGAGAGGGAAATTTATTTATTTTTCCCCAGCGTCCTTCAACTTTTCACATAGAGAATGGAAATGTAGAAAAATGCCAAATGTCTCTTGGAATCACATTAGTTTTCATGATCACAGAAAGGAAAACTTCTTTCTTCTCCTTTTTAAAGGAAAAAGACTTGAGTTTCAAAGACAAACACATATTAAAGGCAAGTCAATGCTTTTGAGACCCAGAGCATGAATAACATTGTTAGGGCAAAATTATACCTAATGAATCAGCCTCTGAATCCTCCTACTGTGTAGCCTGATGATCGGGGAGGCTAAGAACAAAGGAGAGAAGCCACCAAAAGGGATGGGCGCTGCGGGTTGACCTTGACGCCCAGGTGACCTCATGGGGCCAGCTCCAACATCTGGCCAAGTGGTGGTGGGAAAATCTCTTTCTAGTAAACCCTTCAAGAGGACCCTTTGAATAGCGCAGTGAGAGAGAAATCTAGGGTAGGAGGACATGCATGACAGACAGGACAAGGAGAGGGTGGGACCCCGTCCTCAGGGGGTGAGGATCTCTTTCCACTCTCCATGCCTTGCTGAGGCCCCAAGGCTGACTCCCAGGAAGAGGCTGGGCGGACACCACCACACGCCCCTGCTCCCTGGACTGTGACCATCCTGGATTCAGGCTTGGACGGTCCCTCCTGCCAGAGTGGGACAATGGTGCTCCAGCTCTGTAGAAGAAGAGTCAGGGAAGGTCTACTTGGCCCTAACCCCGGGCTTGCAGGGCCTGGTGGGTGTGTGAGATGTGCCCTCACTGGGCTGGAGACCTGCACAGCCAGGTGACTGTCACTTGCACCTCCTCCGGGTGGCAAGCAGACCCCGCACCCCCACTTTCCCTCCCGGGGCTGAGCAAGTTGGCTGCTTCCAGTTTCTGCCAGGTCCCACCCAGGTAGCCAGAGGGTGCTCCGCAGCTGTGAATCTCAGCTCAGAAAAGCCACCAAACTTCTCTGGGAGTGCCAAGATCGGGTGCTTCTCCACTGTGGCCCTGCTTGAGGCTGGAGCAGTTCAGAGGTCTATTTCCCCCCGTTCAGGCTTTTGTTTAAAGCAGGCTTGGGTGGGCTTGTTTACAAATGGCAACTTCCAGAAACCAGCCAAGGCCGCTTAGCTCCTGTTCTGGAGCCCAACCCAGAGGGGTCCATCCCTATCTGGGGATCAAGGAGGCCAGCAGAGAAGCCCCGGGGGAGCCCCTTGTTCTCTGGGGTGCTGGCACCTCGGGTGAGGCTGAGCTTCTGGTGAGGACCAAGGGGAGGGCTGAGGTGGGGGCCGGCATGGGGAAGGTAGGCACCATCCCCAGGTGTGGGGTCAAGGTTGGGACCTTGCTTCCGGGTCACCACGTCATCCTGGGCGAGCCGAGGGCAGGGTCCAGATGGGAGGAGCTTGGACTAACCAAGGACTGAGCCCCTAGGGGCTTGGGCCATCAATGCCCCTCCCACCTCTAGGAGCTCAGATCAGTCCCATTTCACCAGCATCCTTGGAGCATGTCCTGGGGCTGGAAGAGCTGTGTCTCCTGACCTCTGCATTGGTCTGAAGAGGAGCGTTGCCTCCCTACTGGGGTGGCCTCCGAGGAGCTTGGAGGGGTCCCCAGACTCAGTGCTGATGCCCCGCTGAGCCCTGAGCATCCCGGCGCAAGTGAGGCAGGAGCACGGATGTGCGGCATGGGGTGCGAGGCTGCCGTGAGGGTTTTGGATGTACCTCTCCCTTCTGCTTTCTCTTGGGGGGCACTAACAGGCACGAATGGCTGCTTTGTCTCCCCTCGCAGGCCTGTGAGCGAGATGTCCAGTGTGGGGCGGGCACGTGCTGTGCCATCAGCCTGTGGCTACGTGGGCTTCGGATGTGCACCCCGCTGGGGCGGGAAGGAGAGGAGTGTCACCCCGGCAGCCATAAGGTACCGCACAGACCTGCTCAAGGCCCAGAGCCAGATGGCTGACATCTCAGGGGGGTGGGGCACCGCCTCCTTGCTCCTTGGAGGCAGCCTGGGGTGGAGTGTGGGGGGGTACTAATCACACAGCCTGTTAGACCTGGGGGCGGGAACCCCAGCTGCTCACTTGCTGAGTGGCCTTGGGCAATTAGCATGACTGCTCTGGGCCTCAGTCGCCTCGTGTATATGAGGGAAGAGACCGATCGCTCCCGAAGTCTCTTTCAGATCTGATGAGCTCAGATTCTCAAGGGGGCCTGAATGCTCTCTACCCATAGGAACTTTCCCTCAAGAACATGAAATAAGACTCACAAAATGGCCTCCCATCCAAGGGATGGGTCTGGTTAGGGTGAGGCAAGCCACGGGCCCAGGGCATATGCTTCAAGGAGGGACTTGTACTCTTTTGGGCCCTACGCACCCTGCTGCCGTCCACTGACAGGCAGCTCCCAGCCCAGGGGGCATAGAAGGGCCGGGTACAGGAGCAACAAGAGGTGTGCATGGGGACCCCGCGTGCCAGCCCCCTCCCCCGGGCTCCCTGCGGTTCAGGAGTCTGTCATGCTCCTCAGGGAAGCACAACTGCACCCAGGGGTCCCGTTTCTTCTGGGCTCAGAGCATCCTCCTGTGGTCACCCTCCTGATCCGGGCCTCTTGGGGGATGGGGAGGTGGGATGGCGAGGCAGTCCTTGCCGCCTCGGGGTGTGTGAGGTGGTTCAGCTGCGGATCTATATTCCCAAAGGAGACACCAGTGGCAGTAAAAGCTAATGCTGAGTGCTTACCATGGGCCACTTGTCAGACTAAGTCCTTTCGCATTTGTATAGTTTAAACCTCTTTACAGCCATATGTGGTAGGTGCTATTATTAACCCATTTTGCAGATAATAAAGTTGAGACACAGAGACTAAAGAACTTGCCAGTTGTCACGCAGCTGGGAAGTGGCAAGCTTAGGATTTGAACCCGGGCAGTCTGACCCTACCTGTGATCATAACCGTTCCTGTTCACCCTCCGCTGAGGAAACCTCAATAGTTTAGTCTCTGGGTGAGTCACAGGGCAGAGACGGTGCCTGTCCTGTCCACCGCTGCATCCCTAGCACCCCCTAGCGTTGAGCACATCACAGGTGAGCTATAAGTGATGTTCGGTCCACCAACGTGTGTGCGTGCATGCACGCGTGTGCCGGCGAGAGGACCTGGCTAGGCAGCGCGGGGGCTTGTGGTGTTTTAAGGCTGGAGTGGAAGGACAGTGTTGTGGCTGATTACGTTGTCCCAAGAGCCAGATTGCCTGGGTTCAAATCCTGGCTCCTCCACAAATTAGCTGCGTGAGCTTGGCATGTCGCTCAGCCACTGTGCCTCAGTTTCCCCCTCTGTCATAACTTATTGTCGGGCTGGTCGGAGGAGTAAGCCACCGGCCAGGGCTGGACTGGCCAGAGGCTCCTGCCAGGAGGCCCACCTCCCTTATGGTGAAGGAGTCCTCCTTCTTCTCTTTTCCCAGGTCCCCTTCTTCAGAAAACGCCAGCATCACACCTGCCCCTGCCTGCCCAACCTGCTGTGCTCCAGGTGCCTGGATGGCAGGTACCGCTGCTCCACGGACCTGAAGAACATCAGCTTCTAGGAGCCTGTCTGTTGTCGGGATACACATCGCGCCTCTGCATGAGCCCAGCCTGGGCTCGCCTCTTAGGCCCTATCTGCCCCGTGGCCCAGCTCCCCCACCGCCCCGTCCCCGAACTGTCCTCCTCGGTCCCTCCTCCCTAGCACAGCCGTGTGCGTGCATGCTGACGCATAGCACACCGGGTCCCAGCTTCGGGCTGTGGGCCGAGACGGGGCCTGACTGGTTCTCTTCCCTGTTCCGGCTGCCTGAGGGGTTGTAAGTAACAGGAAGGGGATTCTTTTCCCTTAGCCTCTGCCTCACTCACCCGTCTGGTCTTCAGAGGTGGCTTGTCCTCTTCCCTGGGCCCGTCTCTCCCCCTTCCTGCATGCGCTCCTCTGCCTGAATCCCACATTCCCCAGCACAGGCCCTGGGTGTATTGCTCCGTGACAGGTCCTGGACTGAGCCTCAGGCCCTTTCCATGAGGCCTGTGAGGAGCGACCTTTCCGGGGTGGCGGGAGGCCGGGGTGCAGTAGACGGTGATCTCATGGTAGGTGCGGGGAGCCCGCCCACTAGGCCAGAACTGCATTGCCTCCGAGGCCCCTCCCCTCACACTTGACCAGTTCACTAGTGAAGCCCCCAGTTCCCACGGCCTCCCTATAGAATGCAAGTGGGGGCAGTTTAATCTAATCAGCCATTGACATTTTAGGAGGCAATTAGGGAGTAACCTCAAACAGCTCCTTTCCGAGGATCAGCCGCTGGGAGCATGTCTGTGACCTTGAGGACGGGGGCTTCTGCCCAGCTTGGGGAGGTGGGGAGGTGGGAGGGGAGACAGCAGGCAAGCACATTGATTTTGGACCTGGGGGAGGCAACTACCGCCCAGAGACCAGGCTGCACAGGCCTCACACCCAGAGAAGGCAACTTCTCTAGACAGCAAGGCTTCCCGGAGCTCAAAGCTGTCTGTCTGGGAGTTGTGTCACTGGTCTCCACTGGCCTCTAAAACAGCCCCACCAAGCTCCTCCCACCTGGCCCCTGCCCTCGGCTCACCCAGGACTGCGTGGTGCCCCGGAAGCTGCGCTCCCTGACCTGCCCCCTGCAGAATAAAAGCATGAACAAAGGGCGAGTGGCTGTGGTGTTCCTGCTGGCGTGGGGACACGGGGTAGGGAGGGCAGGACGGGGCCTTTTCCAGGTGGGGAAGGATGCCATTGGTGTTCCTCCTTTCGTTTTGGGCAATTTTTTTGCGAAAGTGGATTCAGGGTTTCTTTGAATGAAGGGTGACAGGCACTGGGCTCTGGGCCCGGAGGGTGTGTGGCTCGGGCTCAGGTGTGTGGCTCGGGCGCATTGGTGGGTTGGAGACAGGAAGGGAGCCCTGAGCTGGCGGCTGAGTGGGGACTCCATTGGTGAGATCTGGATGGGTTGCAACTCCCATTTCTGCAATTTAGTCTCTTTTGCTTAGTATCCAGGACCTGATGCCCCCAGACCACCATGTGTGGGATGAGGAAGTCTGTATCAGGATGGCCCTGAGCCTGTGTCCGAACCCAGGGGCTGGGAGCATCGCCTAAGTGCCAGGCTACTGTCCCCACAGCCCCTCCTCACCCCAATTCCTAGCCTAGAAAAATGCAAAATGTAAGATGAAAGGACATTGTATAAGCCTCCAAGCACATTGTGATTAATGAGGCCCTGGGGGCTCCTGCCCTCCCCCATCTGCCCTGGATCTGCCAGCGCCTTGCTCAGGGATGCTCAGAACAGGCTTTACTGCAGGACCCACTCAGGCCAGACCTGAGCCCCACTCAGGGCTCCTTCTCTTTGTTTTTGGCTCCTTTGATAGACATCACTGCCTGCTTTGCTGACTCTTGGCCCTTCTTGCAGCCCATGCATAAATCTCTACCCCCTGCACTCAGGCTCAGGGGCTGGACATAGAACTACTGTCCATGTCTAGGGTTCAAATCTGCCCATCCTTGTCCTTTGGGTCTCTAGGTACTGCTGATTCCTACCACGTCATGATGGTGTGCGGGGCCCTCCCCAGTCAAGCCGTGTCCTCGGCAGGCAGAGCCAACCTGGGTGAGACAATGGCCACATGCTTCAGCACAGCAGAGACGGGGTGATGGCAGAGGGGTGCCCATGACGTGGCGCGCACTGACTTGCCACCTGCAGCACCCCCATCTCTGTCCCCATCTGGGAGCTGGCCAGTCTGCAGACCCTATTTAGTTTAACTGGAACAATTCTCATTTTTTATACCAGAATGCCAAGGAATGTATAATTGACCTCTGCCCCAGTTTCTCGCTGCTTTTTTTCTGAAGCCCTAAGAGGAGAGATGGGGAGACTTGGGGAGGGGTGGTGGTGGGGTAAGAAAAGTGTATTTGTGAGAATTCTTTATATTCAAGAATATACTCTTCAGAAATACAATTATAAGAACCTACTCATAAGAATAATATATCCAAGATAAGAACGTATTCCTGAAGAATTAAATTAAATCAGGGTTAGGTGAAAAGGACACCCCTTCAGGATGCGGGCCCCTTCAGTGACGGCCTTACCTCCTCTTAGTCCAAGCCCCTTCCTCCCCGACAGGTGGAGTCTCGTGCCATCTAGTGACCAACCTGGGGATGGCAAGGAAGCGTCAAAGATGCACCATTCTCAAAGCGGACGGGGACCATTCCCCAGATGTCCCCAAGATTCAACCAGAGGCTTAGAGGGACAGTGCTTCCACCTGTGGAAAGAAATCTGTCACCCTAAGGAGCACAGGAGAAATATTTAATTGCCCCTTTGGGTCCCGTCCCTCCTAGATGCTTCTTTCCTAGAAGCTTCTGTCACCTTCCGGTGAGACACGCTCCAGCTTCCCCCGGAGTGGGACCGTGGAGGTGGGCGGGGCCAGACGAGGATGATGGGATGCCCCTTCCCCCTACCTGTGCCCCTGAATCTCCATCTTCTTTGCCAGTCATCTGGGTCAGTGCTCCCATCACCCCCAGGATCCAAGTCGGAAGCTCAAGAGCAGTCTAGATTTCTTCTCTCTTCTACTGTCCCTTCTCACGGCAGCCATGGCCAAGTCTAAGCAGTCATCCTGCCCAGCATGGCCTGTGGCAACTGCTTCCGACCTATTCTCTCTGCCTCCAGTTTTCACCTTAAAATCCACCCTGGCCTGTTAACCAGCATCTTTCTAGGCGGCACATTTACCTGGTTTGTGCTCCCCGATGGTCCTTCTCAGCTCCAAAGGAGAAAGCCCAGCCCTTGGTAGGGAGCGACAAGCCCCCACCCACCCTTTCTCTGCCTCTCCCATGCTCCCCACCAGGCTTCTCAGCTTCGGGACTGCCTATGGTCTGTGGAAGCGGCTACATGTGTCTTTGCCTGAGCTGTTCCTCTGCGGGGAATGCTCTGCTTCTCTTCTGTTGTCTGGGGACTTCAACACCTCCTTCAAGAGCCACTCAAATGCACCCCCCTGCCCCATCCTCATCCATCAACACAGAAACACCTGGGATGCATCTCAGGCCCCGAGCTGGCACCTGCTCTTAGAGAGCACCCCCCACCCCTCGAGAGAAGGAAGGGCAGTGTCTGCACCCTGCCTATGTCCCCGGGTTGAATAGTGGGGGCCAGGGCTGGAGCAGCTGCATAGCCAGAGGACGGAGGCTCACCTGGGGGCAGACCCAGCCCCAGCCTATCCTCTCAGTGGCCTCACTTCCCAGGACCTGGACTCGCCTCCTGTGCCCAGTAGACAGCAGACTGCATCCCCAGGGGCATGAGGTCGAGGGACTGAGAACAGCCAGGCCTGTGGTGGAGGGGGGGGATGGAGAGGGGGGCAGGAGGGGCTTCTGGGCCCAGCTCCTTGCCAAGGGCCTGCACCGCCCTGTTGGCCACAGATCCCTTCATTTACTGAGGCCAGAGGCTGCCCTCTGCCAGGAGTAGCTTCAGAGCGTGGGGGCCAGGGTTCTTCTCATCACAGACCAAGCCCAGCGTCAGGTGTACCGAGTCCAAGTACCAGGTGTACTGAGTACTTGACAGAGGATGTTGGTGGGCTGCCTGCCATCCGGCAGCCCTTCTCCAGACCCAAGCTACACAGGCGGTGCCCTCCTGCTGTCTGCACTGTGGTCTGTCACTGCGGGCAGAAGGGAGCTGGGAGGAGGAGGCAGGGGTGTTCTGGGCTGGCTGGCCTGGCCCAGACTCCTCCCCACAATGTTTGGAGTGGAGACATGGGACGTGGCAGGGTGCTTGCTTTCAGGATCTGGGTACACGCCATAGATGGGGAGGAGGGGAGGACACCTTGGCAGATCTGCAGGGAGGGCCCACAGAGGACTGAGAAGTTTCTGGTCATCTGAAGTGGAGCCCCCAGTTAATTCATGTATTAATTAATTAGTTTATTACTAGTTTATGAGCTAAGGGGTCCCTTTATTGCATGGTTAACAGAGGACCATGAGCTGCTGGAGGGCAGAGACCATGGTTTTCTCCTGTGTCTGGTGCCTGGCTTAGAGCTGGGCTCAACAGACATCTGCTGAATGAACAAATGAATGAATGAATGAAACAGCAGCGGCATTTCCTAGGAGGAGACAGGCTGGCGAGAGTCTCAGGGGCCTCTGGTATGTAGGGTTTATAGCTGCCACCTGTCACAGACCTTCTCCCCCCAGAGTCCCCACACCCCAGTGCTCACCTCCTGCCCCCTTGCAGTTTCTGGCTCAGCAGAGGGAGGCCCTCTGAGGTCCTGGAGATTGGGCGAGCCATACACAAAGCCCACGATAGCCCTGAGAGACCAGGACGGGCCCCGGGGTGCAGACTAGGAGTGGGAAAGTACAGGATCTGTGAGTGAGAACATCTTAAGTTGTACAAATTCCATTTACTTTTGTCGGATGGACTTTGCCATTGGGGACCCAAAGACAAAAAAGGACCGTCCCCTCTAAGAGAATGCTAGCGGAAGGTAGGGCAGAGGGAGGGACCCAGCTGCTGGCACGAGTGAGGGGAGATGTCACCAGTCGGGGGCTGGAACTGAGCTGAGCAAGGGGAGGGCCTAAGGGAAGCTGGGTGTCCTAGCATGGGGGGTGGGGGTAGGTGCGTTCATGGGTGCTCCTCATGGAGGACCAAGGGCCAGACATTGAGCGGCTGAGCAGAGCTGAGCATCTGCCTGGAGCTCTCTCAAGGGCCTAAAATGCTAGAGGACTCAGTGGAAGTCTGCCGTTAAGCCCCGCTACCCCTGAATACCGAAGGATGAACTCGAGATAGTGTATCGGGTAGGATTCCAACTGGCCGGC